CTGAATTAACATCTCTTATAGTGGATTCTCTCCCTGGCTTGGTAGCCCCCAGAGTAGGTGTTGTTGCACACTGAACTGGGTAAACAATTGACTGTGTTATTTACTGCTTTTGTATTTACTGTCATATAGTAAGTCAGATACGGTGTCATAACATTGGACGTGACATTGAGTATCTGCAGCCAGAATTTCAGAAGTATTGTCACTAGTCAAGAGGACATTGAAAAAGAGGTCTTGGATTTTTATGTGGGTCTTCTAGGTTCCACTGACAGCAACTTGATGGGAATTAACATCCCAGCTATTAGAGAAGGTAAAACTCTAAATCAGGTTCAGAGGGATTTTCTGGAGCGTTCTGTTACAAACTGTGAGATAACCAAAGCTAAGAGATGGGGATCAACACAACCCCTGGACTGGATGGCTTTGGTTCTGGTTTTTTCAAGGATGCTTGAAATATAGTTGGTAATGATGTTACAGGTGCTACTCAGGATTTTTTCTCTCATAATAGGCTGCAAAGGTTTCAACAGTGCAGTTGTAGCTCTTATTCTGAAGCATAAAGAGGCTAGAATGATGAAAGATTATAGGCCCATCTCTTGTTGCACTATGATTTACAAGGTGATCTCAAAAATTTTAACCAACCAGCTGGGTAGTCTAATTGGTTGCATTGTTGGTAAGAATCAGACTGCCTTTATTCCAGGTCAGCACTTGCATGATCATGTGTTGGCTTTCGATTTGCTGAAGGGTTATGATAGGAATCATGGCGCTCCAAAGTGTATGCTTCAGATAGACATTCAAAAAGCTTATGACATGGTGCATTGGGATGCTCTTGATCACATTCTCGATGAGTTTGGTTTTCCTAGTAAATTTATAGGGTGGGTGATGACTACTGTTAAAACTGTGTCCTGTGTGTTTAAGGTTAATGGTAAGCACATTGTGAAGATGTCTTCTAGGAGAGGTATTAGGCAGGGGGATCCCATCTCCCCCCTGCTGTTTATTTTGGTCATGGAGTATCTTAACAGGATTCTGTGCCAGTTGGAGAAGATTCCTAATTTCAATTACCATTCAAAATGTGAAAAATTGAAAATCACTAATCTGTGTTTCGCTGATGATTTGTTGTTGTTTGCTAGGGGTGATGCAGGATCGATTAACCTCTTGATGGAGAAAATCAGCAGTTTCTTAAACTCCATGGGTCTCAAGGTCAACCCTTCTAAATGCTCTATCTACTTTGGGGCTGTTGATTGGGAAACAAAAGATGACATTCTGAAAATTATTTTAGGTTTAAGGAAGGTAAAATGCCGTTTAGATATCTTGGATTCCTATGTCTAACAAGAAGTTGACTATCAAGCACTATGGTGTGCTTATTGAGAAAATTGTTAGCAGAATCACTCATTGGAGTTTGTCTCCTTTCATACGCGGGGAGGGTCCAACTTATTCAAAGTGTCGTGTTTTCCACGGTCAATTTTTGGATGCAATGTTTACCTCTTCTCAAAGGAGTTATTCAGAAGATCAATGCTACATGTAGGAGTTTTCTTTGGACAGGTGATAAAGCGATTTCCAGAAAATCTCTGATAGCTTGGGAGAAAGTCTGCAGCCCTAACTCTAATGGAGGTTTGAACATCATAAACCTCTCTATTTGAAACCAGGTCAATTTATTGAAGCTGCTGTGGAACATCTGTCAGAAAACTGACAATTTGTGGATTAAGTGGTTACATTCTTACTATGTTAAAGATAAACTTGTTTGGAGTGTTGATATTAAGACGAACCACTCTTGGATTCTTAAGAGCATATTGAACCTGAGGACTCTATATCAGCAGCTCAATTACCTTATGCAGGATGGCTTTAAGTCGAAGAAAGTGTATCTGGCTTTGGTTAGCGGTAGTGAAAAAGTTTTATGGAGAAAGTTGTTTTTCAGCAATTTGGTGAGACCTCATGCCCAGTTTACTCTTTGGCAGACTTGCAATTCCAGACTCGCGACTTAGGACGGGTTAAAGAAGTTCGGATTGTTGACTGAGGACAAATGTTTTCTCTGTTTCAACCATAACCACTTATTCTTTGGGTGTCGGAGGCTAAAGAGGATTTGGCAAGCGGTCCTTTCTTGGCTTCAGGTGCAACACCAACCGGGGGAATGGTTTGACGAGGTTAGGTGGATTGCCCAAAATTGCAATGGTAAAGGGTGGAGAGCTGCATTTCTTAAGTGCGCTTTTACAGAGACAGTTTACTATACGTTGAATTTTAGAAATAACAATATTTTTGGCAAGGTTGTAGATAAAGAGGAATATTGAGGATTTGATTATTGATACGGTGATTTATAGAGTTTGGGCTAACAGAAAGCATAGGAAAAACCTTGCAACTCTCCTGATGTAGGTTTTTCTTGTGGGTGTTGTTGTTTTGTCCTTTTGGTTTTCTTCGTGTTTTGTTGGGCTGGATCGATGGCAATCGCCTTATATATATCGTTTTTTGAATTAATCAAATTTTTTGGTTAAAAAAAATTTATGTTATGAGAATTAGGGTATAATGGGGATTGGATAAATGATGTTTTGTTTGTAGTGAACTTCTAGAAGTGAGGTGGTCCCCTGTGAGCTGTGACATCATCTTGTACCGTGTAAACCGAAAATTCCTCAATGAGTGTGTATATTTTTTGATTTGAAAGAAGTTTTTTGAATTATCACCATCTTGTTTGAAATAACCCTTACCTATCATTTAAGTTTCTTGGCCTTCAAACTTGATCTGATTTGAATCTCTAATTTTGACAAAATGGGGACCTGTTTTTGATTTAGCATTATTTATCTGCAGCCACCTTGCAACTTGGATGTATTTGTGGCAAAAACTCGATACCTTTGAAATATGGTCTTTGTATGTTCAATTTTTCTCTCTCTTTGAATTCGGGTTTGTATTGGATCTTAATGTCTTCTAATTATGCCCATTTTCCTTTCAATTTGTGGCAGATTTGGTGGTTGCATCAAGGATCAAACATGGTTGATGCTCCATTCTGTCATTTTGCAATTGTAGTCTTTGTTGGCGCCTGAAGGATTAAGTGGTTTGATTGGTAAGTCTGTTGAATTGGGTCTTATATGTTTTAGGATAAGAGCCTCAGATTTAGTTGTCTCTAATCTTTAGTACGCTGACGAGACTTTTACTTAGGAGGACCCGTATATTGAGAACTCTGGACTATAAAGGATATTCCTAGGGGTTTTGAGTTAGCTTCTAGCCTCAAATTAAATTTTTACTAGAGTAGTTTGATAGGGGTTAATGTAGATTCATATTTTTTTAATTCCACTAATGACTTTCTTCATTATAGACCTGAGACTCTTCCTTTCAAATATTTGTGATTGCCTGTTGGGGCTAGCGCTAGTTGAGGAGTTACTTGGGACTTTCCCTCGTTAATTGTTATCTAAAAGGCTTAGTTCCTAGAAGCACAAGTATGTTAGCTTTAGGGTAGGGAGGTTTTGATTAATTCCAAGCATAATTCTATCCCTATTTTCTCCCCGTCTTGCCTAAAAATGCCTATAATTGTTTGGGGGATAATATTTCATATTCAAATAAGGTTTTTGTGGGGAGGTGTTAAGGGAAATTATAAAATCGCTTGGGCTAGTTAGGATGATGTGTGTAAGTCTAAGAGTAAAGTTGGTTTGGGGGTTAGAGATCTCCTCCAGGTCAAATTAGCTCTTTTGGCTAAGTGGAGGTGGCGTCTTATCTCTGGTGACTGTAGTCTTTTGAGAGACATCTTTTTTGCCCGTTATGGTGCCTTCATCGTCTCCTCTCTCATCCGTGAGAGAGGACTTGGCTTTCAAATTTCCTCTTAGTGGAAAGAGATTTCCCTTCCAATTGGTTTGTGGACCGTATTTATAAAATGGTAGGTTTATGGTATCAAATGTCATTTTTGAATGACCCGTGGATAAGGAGTATACCACTTAAGGTTGGGTTCCTTTGTTTATTCTTAATAATTGATTAAGGTTGGGTTCCTTTGTTTATTCTTAATAATTGATTATCCTAAGGGGGTGTGGGAGAGATATGTATGTGGGTAGATGAGACTAGAATTTGAGATTTCAAATGGAGGGGGCATTTCTTTGGCCATATTGTTGAATCCATTTAGGTCATCTGAGGGCATATTTTTCTTTGGAAAGAGATAGGTGGATTTGACAGTTTGTTATGGACAATTTCTTCTCGTGTCCACTAGTCATACCTTGAATCCACTTTGTGATGCTTTCTTCCAGTAAGCTTCTCACTTGTGACTTAGTTAGAGGTGTCTGGTATATGAATTTAGATGGTTGAGATGGCATATAGTTCTTTCTAGAGATCCCAGTATTCTCTGTGAAAGTTTCCTTGTTTTAGGTGGTAGGGAGAAGTCTATGAATTTTTTCATGATGGGATATGGACCATCTGGAGGGCCCATAATGAGATTAGTTTTTTATTTTTTTTATTTTTTATTTATTCTATTTTTTGTATTTCAACAACAGTGAATGAATTGGAAAAAATTCCTTGAAAATGGTTCTTGGGTACATCAATAGAAAACTCTTACAACTTCACAAATTGACTTCAGAATCCTATCATTTATATTAATCAATAGTTAATCGAGATGTGTGGCCAGTTTGAGAGCATATGTGTTTTCTTCTTTTTTCCTGATGGCTTTTGATTCGATGATGGTGGTGCGAATAGCTTGAGCTCTAGCTCAATCCGAGTTTGACTTGTGATAGCTTTTTTGTGTTTTTAGGCTTTGTAGTTCTTTTCTCTTGTTTTTATTCGTTTTATTGTAGTTTTCAATATATATTATGTCATCCATGTACTCATTTGTATACTGATCGTACTCTTTATTTTATTTATCTATATTATTATTATATTGCCTTTAAAAAAAACAAATGTTGGTGTTTGATATATAATGTCATTTTATACAATTTGATACATTGAATTAACATAACATAAAGTAAAATTGAATGAAGTTAATCATACAAGCATTACGATGAAGATTGATAAGATTGAAGATACACAAAGAGATAACCAATTCACGTTCATAACCCTGGCAGGTTTCGACATATAGGACATGTAGCATTCATCTTGAGCCAAACATCTATACAATCAACATGAAAATGATGATTGCATTGGGGTATACTCCTTAATGTCTCCATAGGCTTATACTCACTAAGACATATGGAACAAACATTGTCAATTGACTTAGGTAATTGTACACTTTCTGCTAGTTGAATCTTTGGATATTCTTCTATCATTGATCTATCAAGCCCAAACACAAACCAAGGTGGTTCTCGATTACTTGGCTCTATGTTTGTAATAGTCTCTCTTTGTTGAATATGATTTTGTTGTCTATCTCTACATATGGATAAAGATAGCCACCACATGAAGAACAAAATTCCTAATACTCCCCAAAGTACTGGAAAAAATTTAAATTTTTTATGCCTTTGAGTCGAAGGATTTCCAACTACATAATTTGAAGTCTAATATAAGTTAATTTATATTAACAATAAATATAAAACAAAATAATTGAAATAAATAAATACGATAAAAACAGAATAATAATTTTATAATTTTATAAAACTTAGGATTAGAAGAAAGGATGATAATAGATCAGCTCGATAGACAAGAATTTTCAGTCTGTCCTACATCAAAATCAGACTAGACTATATTTTTTCAAATAAAAAAATTATTATTTTTTAAATCTATTTAACTAAAAATGATAAATCATAAAACAAAACTTTTAAGCCTATAAAATTCAGCCTACTCAAATAATCATCAACAATGTTTTTATTATGATTTTTATTATTATATTATATTTTACTTTAAATTAAATTATAAATATGTTAAATTTTACACTAATTTAATTTTTTAAAATATATAATTTATTTTCATATTTAAATATATTTATTATGAGTCTATTATTATAAACCGTAATTGAAATATGATCTATTATATAGTATTATTTATAAATCATCAAATTAAATATTAAAATAAATCTTAACTATCTTTGAAAATTTATGAAAATAATGTGAAAACAATTTATAATTAATATATAAATTGTTTTCATAAACTTTTTGCTCAACTAGTCTATAAAACTTATGTCTCTATTTAAGTTTAAATAAAAGGTAAAATATTATATTTGATTCTGTAGGTTAATTTTAAGGTTTATTTTAGTTTCTTAATTTAAAAAGAGTATATATTGGTCTCTTAATTTTTTAAAATATTTTATTTTAGTCTTTTTTTTTGTTTAATTAATGACAAAAAAATTCAGAAATTAATCGCTAAATTCGTCGCTAATTAGATAATAAGACTTAGATTAAAATATTTTGAAGATTTAAGAAATTAATATAAACTATTTTTAAATTAAAGGTATAAAATGAACTTTGAAATTACCATACAAAAGACAAAAAAAAATATTTTGCCTAAATAAAACTTAAATAAATATTAATTCTAATTGATTTTTGGGATATTTGGGTTTGTAAATCTATTCACCTTTTAAAAGAAAAATAAATATATACCTGGGAAATTAATAGTGTTACTATAACAAGTAACATTAAGACCCGTATCAGTTAAAAAGCCACAGAATTGATCAGGTTCACAACCACATGAAGGAGTATTCCATCGCAACATTGCTTCAGAGTAAAGCCCATCCTTGATTACCAATGGTTGTTGTGAATTATCTTTGACAGGAACCTCAGCAAAACCAATCTCATGACACGTCGAGTTCAACGAACTAACAAGAGATGATTGCAACGTATACATAATGGAATAATTTGCATTGCTCATACAAGGTATAGTTGGAAGTTCATCGATCACTGGATTTGGTTCCTTTGCAGAATTAGTACTACAATTGAGAAATGTTATATTTTCATAATGACTATAAAATGAGTTGTCCCATGCAAAAGGTGAATCATCGATGATGTTTTTGTTTTCAACGAACCTTTGGGGTGGACAATCATTGGGACTTTTGACCCAAATTCTTTGTATCTCAATGGAAATACTTTTGACTACAAAATTTCTATCATTTGAGAGTTTAAGCAAAGCTTGCTTAGAATCGTTACAATGAACTTCAAATCCTGGGTATCCACATCGATCACTTTGATTACTGTTATTTCCATATTCATCTCTTAATATGAAAGGGAACTCAATAAGAAGACCTAACTTAGGGTTTCCACAATATTTCTTAAAACAAAGTTGGGTTGAACTGTGAAAAAGAAAGAGGAATATGGAAAATATGAAAGAAAATTTCAAGGTAGACATTAGATATTGATATGATATGAATGAGAGTGCATGTGATGTGAGTTACTACTAAATTGACATATTCGTTGTCTGCTATATGGGATGAGACATATATTTTGTATATACCAAAGCTTAATATAATCCTAGTGTTACTCGTCCAATATTACTTTCCTAATGTGTCAATTTGGATTATATATATGGGGTCACTTTCCTAAGGTAGACATTCATCTCTAAGAAGTTCTTTGACCTCCCGAAGAAATATGCTAATACAAGTTTAATCATAACAAGGAATTCAAATATATTTAGGCCTGTAAATTTACACTGGGTCAGTCTGTGGCAGCTCGGAGGGAGAAGGAGAAAAAGTTGAATTAAAAACTTGATTAGCTATGACTAATATTATTCATTTAATTATGTTGACATATTAGTTCAGTTAATCTATTTAAATAAATGTAAGATTATTTGTTTAAAGACTTATAATATAAAACATATTTTTAAGTAGGGTGACAAGTTATACATGTCAACAACAAAGATGATAAAATAGGATAAGAATAAGAGATTAAATTTCAATAATTGAATATATATATATATATATATATATATATATATATATATATATATATATATATATATATTGTGTTTCATTAAGAAAATGGATGCAGTTGGCGAACTAAATATCTTGAATCGGTGGTGATGATCTTCATTGCAGCGGCGCAGAGTGGACTTATATGATTAGCGTTTCAACGCCCAAGTCAGTTCGAGATTCAAGATGAGTATAGTCAAAAGTGGAGATCATAAAAGTGTATATTGTTTTCTCCGTTAACTGGTTTTATACTTTGGATCAAGTGGAGTGAATTTTACATGAATTGAGCCTTATATATCTAGGCCTTTGACCGACCCAAAACAGTTTCCCCAAAGGCTTTGTCGGGCCCTATATGAATCGGGGAAGCCTTTAGCGATTTTGACCGATCTCTGAGGTATTGCCCGTTGTGAGCCAAAATTGAAACATTTGGAGTCTGTTGAAAAAGTAGTGAGAGACAGAGGCATTAAATGTTTTTCTATCACTAAAGTGTCTCTTTATCTACTTCAATTGCACCAGCCTAGCTATGCAGGTGGTCAAGAAATGATTCCCCCATCTAGAGTACTTGAGTACCCCCGACCCCCATCATGTTTGATGGGACATCGTGTTCACGACCTTGGATTCATGCTTCATGTCTAATCTGATATGTTGGTTTCCATCCAACTTCTTTATAAAAGATGAGTTCCCCCCCCCCCCCCCCCTGTTAGACGGTGTGGCAAGTGATCGAGAGGGGGGGGGGGGGGGGGGGGGGGTGAATAGATCACCTCCTTCTTTATCAAGGATTTAAAATCTTTTATCGAAGTTTGTTAAAAGCAGCGGAAAAACAAGGTCCAAAATCAACTTCCGTCTATTTTGAACTAACTACTAGAAAATCGGACAGACGATAAACTTGCTGGATTTTATTAAGATGAAATAGATGAAACTTAAATACATATTGATGTACGTTTTAATGCACTTATCACAAGAACGATATTTCCAATGAATAAAAACTTGCACACAAATTTGTCAAACAGTTGGTGTATGCTTGTTTGATGATTAACAATAATGGTGGTTTATCAAAAGAGTTTGCCACTATTGTATCATTAAATGGAAAGATCAGCAAACCAACTGAATCACAAAATTGAAGAAAACGCAAAAAGATAGAGAGAAAGAAAAACAATACGCAGGCAGTTTGGTAAGGAAGTTTCCCACTGTCGTCCTTGCGTGTGGGTACGTCTCCCTCTCAATTCTAAAACTGAAATTGAGAACTCTTATATCAATTTGTTGAAAGTTGTATACAAGGTTACAATAAAAAGACATAATGAAATCTCTAAGATCTTCTTCTTCTTGTAAGAACCTTCACTTGATATGAGCTTATCAAGATTTCCTGCAAGGTCCACAATCAATCCTCCGCTTCTATGACCTGTTTGCGAAATCCCCACGATCTCCAAACCCCTCTCTACAGCTGAATCTGACTTGTGCGACCGTGACTAACAAACCCTCAAGAACACGCTCGTTCTTGAAGGACAAACCCTTGGTTTTTCCTCGAAGCCTCCTTCTGAATCTTCAACCAACTGAGATCACTTGATCGAACAACTGAATGTTATCTCTTTGATCTCTTGATCCAATGAACAATGATGTTTATCTTTCGTTGTTGTTGAACCAAGATGATTGAGAAGATGATAAAGATGAAGTATCATTCAGGCTTCTAATGCTCAGAAATTTGATGCTCACAACTGTATCTTGTGACACCTGTTTTGTTTTACTGCAAGAAACTTACTTATATATGTGATGTGAAAGGTAATTGGACAGATAAGAGTAACACATGCGATATTCCTCTGAAGTTTCTGATTAACAAGGCTAGAGAGTTTGAAAAGAACAAAGATTGGGTTGCGTTCAATGCGTTATTGGCCGCCATGATCTATGGCATTGTCATGTTGCCTAATGTGGAGAATTTTGTAGATTTAGCAGCAATATATGTTTTCATGAATGGAAATCAGGTGCCAACAATACATGCCAATACTTACTATGCTATTCACTCCCAACACGGTAAGAAATGAAGTGTCGTTTACTGCATTCTTCTGTTATATAAATGGTTCAGGCTACACATGCCCACAAGGGGACCGTTTGTAGGCGCCAGAGACTCGCTCCTTTGGTCTCAAGGGATCATGGCTCTTACTTCTTATGATATTGTTTTGCACAACAGAAGGCGTGGATAAGAGATTATTGCAAGTTGTGGAGAATTTCCCAATGTTCCTCTCATGGGAACAAAAGGATGTATCAGTTATAACCCTATCTTGGCACGGCGTGAGCTAGGATACGTTATGACTGATAAGCCCACAGACCAGGAGGTGGAAGAGACCATTTATTTCGGTAAAGGAGAGAATTTTGTCTAGCTAGAAAGGGTAAGAGTTGCTTGGGGGACATATTCACAAGAAATGAAAGGTTTTCTTCAGTCAGAGAGGCTGTTTGGCTCCCGGTCCTTATGTGGAGTGGGTCAAGAACCGATCAAAATTAACGTTGTTTCCTTACAAAAGGGGAAAGTCTTTGTATCCGCATCCCATCTTTGATCCATTAGCCGATGGTCAGTTACCACTAAATGTATCTATCAACCAATAATTTCCCAATGAATCATCTCTTCAATAGCTTACTTCTGATGTGTCAAAGTTTGTGCCCATGGTATACTACAAGCAAGTCAAAGCTGAGAGTCTCAAGCTCCAATCAGAAAAGAAAGAGAGACGTATAGATTTTTCCTTTGCTTTGCAAGAGAGGAAGAAAATGCTTCATAAAGCCATAATGAAGGACAAATTTTTGGAAGATCATGGTTTGATTGGAAAACAGAAAAAACCAAGACTTGAAAGTTCCCGCACTACTCACGCATAAGTTGAAAGGAAAAGCTCAAGTAGATCTTATGAAGAGTCAGTAGAAGATTGAAAGTATCTGGTTGTCCAAAGATAAGCTGCACGCGAGTCACATAGAAGAAGTTAAGGCTTTGAAGAAACATCTCCGAGAGGAAAAAGCCAAAACTAAGGAGATCTATAGACAGCGAGAGGTTTTCGAACTGCAAGTCCAAAGCCAACAGGTATAGATAGACAGGTTGACTGACAAAGTTGACGAGCTCAAGATTCAACTCAAAGAGAAAGATGCTCAATAGTTTGTAACATAGGTCCGATTGAAAGGAAGAAGTATCCATTTGGCTCAAGTTGTAGAAGACTTGGCAAAGCTCAAAGCGTAACTGACTGATAGAGGCGAGATTCTAATGGAATTTGGTGGCAGTTCTCAGTATTGTTGATGTTTTTATCTTTTGTTAGGTTCACCGCCAGACTTGTTGGACGAGATCCTTATGGCTTTACCTGTATGAACTCTTTTGAGAAACTCATTGTACGGATGTTTTACTTCATGATATGAACAATCTCTTTCTTTAATGATAATTTGTTTATATCTTGTTGCCTTTTGTTCTTGATGAAAAAATCAGGATATTCTTGGAAATTGTAAAATATTGCATGCATAATAATGTATTCATTCATATCATATCATATCTTATCATAACAGGTGGTTCTAGTAAGTCTTCTTACTTTTGATCTGGTTTTTTAAGAGATTGCAACTTCCAACTTTCACCGGTACAACACCAAGGGTAACTCGAAGAGACAGATGGAACATATACAAGACGACTTAGCTGCTATGGGTGTCAAGATGGACACTCGTGTTAAATAGTTGATGGATATTATTCAGACTATGGCTCAAGGCCAGGAAGATCTAAGGGCTCTAATTGTGAAACCTGCTGCAACTACAGATGAAGGGAATTAAACTTTGAATCCTCCTCTGAGAGATGCTGGAAATCTTGTGGGGATTATTGTTAATAATCTTACTGGTAATCCAAGTGGTATAGATTTGAACGGTAATGTTGGTGTTAATCTTGGGAATGGTCCCACTGTTAATCTTGGCAATGGCAAAAATCAGGCTCATGTTTTCGAAAATCTTCCTCCACCCACTCCTCCTCGTCAGAACAATGAGCAACCTTTTGTTCAGCCACAATTCGAAAGAGATGTTTTGATACTGGTTCAACCACTTGAAGAGGATAATTATGATGACTCGTTTTCTAATCATGAAGAGCCTACTGAAGCTGATAATAAGCTGCGTGTACTCGAGGAGCGCATACGGGCTTTTGAAAATCAAGGAGCCATGGGTCTAGACACGACTAATTTGGGATTGGTTCTTAGAGTGAAGATTCCTCCGAAATTCAAAGTGCCAGACTTTGTCAAGTACAAAGGTGTTTCCTGTCCTAAGACGTATGTTAAGTCTTACTATAGGAAAATATCGGTGTACTCTAGTAATAAGAAGTTGCTCATGCAATTTTTCCAAGATAGCTTGATTGGTGGACCGTTGGATTAGTATATGCAGCTGAACAACAATCTTATTCGCAGTCGGAGAGAGTTGGCCGAGGCTTTTGTTTTACATTATCAAT